GATCACTTGGCGTGTTGGGCAACAGAGCAGTTGAAGACTGAGATCGGAGAAGGGCTTCAAGTGGCGTTATGGGATCTATGGTGCCTTTTTTTTATTTTTTATTTTGTTTTCTTTGGTTTTTTTTTTTTTTTTTTTTTTTTGGGTTATGATTAGGAAGAGAGTTAGTATAGGTTGCGTACAAGAAACTAAGTAGACGGGTGAGAAAGTTAGAGAAATTGAGGATACCGGTTTTAAACTGTATTATAGTGGTAAGGATAGACGCAAGAATGGGGTAAGAATCTTAATTGCCAAGGGTCTTGTGGAGAATGTAGTAGCAGTCATTAGGAAAGGAGATAGGATTATGTTAGTTAAACTAGTTATTGGAGGGAGTATAATGAACATTATTAGTGCATACGCCCCTCAAGTAGGATTAGATGATCATACTAAGAGGGATTTTTTGGAGCAAATGGATGAAATCTTACAGGAGATATCCGCAGGAGAGAATCTGATTATAGGTGGAGATTTTAATGGTCATGTAGGCATAGATAAAGTAGGCTATGAAATGGTGCATGGTGGATACGGTTTTGGTGACAGAAATGAGGCTAGAGAGAATATTTTAGATTTTGTGTTGGCTTCTGACCTGGTGGTGGCAAATACTATGTATAAGAAGAGGGTGGAGCATTTGATAACCTTTAAGAGTGGGTCAGTTAAGAGCCAAATAGATTACTTCTTAGTGAGAAAAGTGGACTGCCTAAAATGTAATGATTGTAGGTGATTTCTGGAGAGAGCCTGACCTCTCAACATAGGATTTTGGTACTAGATTTATGTTTTAGAGGGCAATCCAAGCTAAGAAGGATGGTGGGTGTCATAGGATGAGATAGTGGGACCTAAAAGAGGACAAATTAGAAATATTTAAGAATAGAATGGATAACAAAGGTACTTGGGACTTGGAAGATGATGCTAACATTATGTGGAACTCGATGGCCAATTGTATGAGGAGAATCTGAAGGGAAGTGCTTGGAGAGTCGAAAGGAGCGAGACCCAGCTCTAGGGAAACTTGGTGGTGGAGGAAAAAGGTTCAAGCGGTAGTTAAAGCAAAAAAAGAGTGCTTTAACAAGTGGCAAAATGATAGAACTGAGGAAAACCTTAAGAGTTATAGATTGGCTAATAGGGAGGTCAAGAAAGTAGTAAGAGAGGCTAAGCTGAAAGCTTATGATGACCTATACGCTAGACTAGATAATAAGGAGGGAGAGAAGAGGGTATACAAATTTGCTAAGATACGGGAGAGGAAAACAAAAGATTTTAATCAAGTTAAGTGTATCAAGAATGAGGATTCTAAGGTATTGGTGACGGATGAAGAGATTAAGAAAAGATGGAAGAAGTATTTTGAGGAACTATTAAATGAGGAACATGGAAGTACGACAATAGGGGAAGAAATAGCCAGTAATACGATAAACCAAGACTATAAGTTCTATCACAGGATTAGGAACCTTGAAGTGGAGTCAGCACCTAAGAAGATGAAATCAAATAAGACTTTAGGACCAAATGATATCTCTATTAAAGCTTGGAAGTGTTTGGGTAAAAAAGGGGGTTGCTTGGTTGACTAGCTTGTTTAGCAAAATTTTGTTGACTAGGAACATTCCAGATGAATGGAGGAAGAATATTTTAGTATCAATCTATAAGAATAAAGGAGATGTCCAAAATTGTAACAACTGTAGAGGAATCAAGCTAATATGTCATATAATGAAAGTGTGGGAGAGGATGATAGAACGCCGATTGCGAGACATAACAGAGGTGTCAGAGAATCAATTTGGGTTTATGCCAGGCAGGTCAACAATGAAAGCGATCTATCTTTTGAGGAGAGTAATAGAAAAGTATAGAGAAAATAAAAGAGACATTCATATGGTGTTTATCGACCTTGAGAAAGCATATGATAGAGTGCCCCGAGATATAATATGGTGGGTGTTAACGAAGAAAAGGGTGGCAAAAAGTTACATTGATGTGATTAGGGACATGTATGATGGGGTGGTGACCACTATTTGATCGACTGTTGGAGAGACAAATGAATTGCCTATCACTGTAGGGTTACACCAAGGATCTACCTTAAATCTTTATCTTTTTGCTTTCGTTATGGATGAGTTGATGAGAAATATCTAGGATGACGTGCCATGGTATATGCTTTTTGCAGACGATATAGTACTAGTGGATACAAAGTTGGAGATTTGGAGAAAAGCTCTTAAATCTAAAGCATTCCGGATAAGCAGAATTAAGACAGAGTACATGGAGTGTAAATTTAGTATCAGTAACAATGAAAGTAGAGGAGAAGTGAAGATTGAAAGCCAAGAACTGCCTAAGAGTGAACATTTTTGTTATTTAGAGTGGATTATCACAACAGCAGGGGAGATTGATGCGGATGTGGCCCATAGGGTTAAGGCGGGATGATGTAAGTGGAGAAGTGCGTTTGAGGTACTATGCGATAAACGAATACCCACTAGACTTATAGGTAAGTTCTATAGAACGACTATTAGAGCAGCGATGTTGTATGGGATGGAGTGTTGGGCAACCAAGAAACAACATGTAAATAAGATGAGTGTAGCTGAGATGAAAATGCTAAAGTGAATGTGTGGCAGGACTAGACAAGACAGAATTAGGAATGAGTGTATTCGGGAATGGGTAGGAGTAGCACCGATAGAAGATAAGTTGAGAGAGAATCGATTGAGATGGTTTGGTTATATTCAACGAAGACCAACAGAGGCAGTAATGAAGAGAGGCGATGCAATGACGGTAGATAGATGTGTTAGGGGACCGGATAAGCCAAGATTAATGTTGACTAGCATTGTAAATAGAGATATGGATCTACTTAATTTGACTAACGAAATAGTATTTGATAGAGCCGCGTGGAGAAGAAGGATTCATGTGGCCGACCCTATTTGATGGAACTTAAGGCTTGGTTTGGTTTGGTTTTTTTTTTTTTTTTGTTGAGATAACTAACCAAACTTTATTGAAAAAGTATCAAGGTAATGCAAAAAATACAAAAATACAGACCAACAAAGGCCAAAAAGTGATTGTTATCTTCTCATGCCCCGGGTCCCTTGACCCAAGGACCAGAGATGATAAGAGCAATTTAGGAGAAAGGTCATGTATAGAGTATAGGAGATAAGAAATAGGGGTAAGATACCAAGAAGGTTAACTCAACAACCCACTAGCCACAATCCTACTTACAATAAAAAAAATAATTATAATAATACAGATCTCTACATTTTTTGAATTGCTGAGAGATCAATAAATTGCTTTATAATTTTTAAATTGGGATTGTTAGGTTAAAAAAATTTCCATAGGTGTCTAGAATTTCAATGACAATGCAAAAGTAAAGTAGCATCTACAGCAACATGCAGATATTATAGCTAGTAAACAAATAGGAACTGCTGAGAATCCTATAAATAAACCTTTTGTATATCATCTTCTAGCTTCTGTATTAATCTTTGTTGTTCGTTAACCTCTGCAGTAAGTTCTGCTATCTTGCCTTCAGCTGCTTCCAGCAAAGATGTCTTTTCAGAAAGTTTCATCTGAAGGAGTGCAGAGGCATTAATATAATTGCATATAAATAAACAGACACCGTTAAAAGTTTAATTAACATTTGAAAATTTCCAAAACATTATGGCATGGTTTTAAATCTACAACTCTGTTATTTCATTGTGGCTTGTGGTTATGCCCAACATATAGATTGAAATCCTTGGATATGTTGAGAAAACTATGAGCAGACAAAATGAATGTATAATTTATAAATGAAACAGGTACTCCATGGATGCCATACCTTCAACTGAGTGAGTTCATGTTCCATTTTCCGGTTCTTATCAAGTAGTAGAGACTCAAGTTTGCTCATCTCTTCCCCACTAGTGGCTACTTCCCAATCTTCAGCCTCAATTGAATTATAACCAACTGCCTACACATAAAACAGTGAAAGTTAGACAGAAAGCATAATGATGGAAGCATTCAAATTAGAATATACTAGTAATAAAATAAATGACAAATAAAGTAATAAAATAAATGACAAATAAAGGGCCATTCTCTAAGCCCCAAACGCCTTGGCCTGCAACCTTCAATGGTCATTCACATCAATTTCTGGTTGAGAAAGATGAGATTCGGTCAGATGGACGGATCTCTATTTTAGTACACATTAGTTCAAGCTCCAGTTGGTCCCTTAGAAAATGATTTAGCTCAATCAGAAAGGCCATTAGGCAATTCATCAGGCCTTTCAGAAGATTAAACAACCATTGTTTTGATCAAACATCAAAGATAGTCAGATTGCCAGGGACAATGGAAAGAATTTTTCACTGTGCTTCAAACATGTTGTAAGTAAACTTTGACCAGAGATTAATACAACGTACACAATAAATGTGAGATCCATGGACCATGACTATCATTTCATGTGGGTTAGCATCCTGTTTCCCTGTTTTGATTGATTATGGTAAGTTGGCAAAGAGAGCTCTTTTCAAAAAACCGAGGTATGGCAAAATTAATTTTACTCTTCAATCACTAATAGGTCATATTTCCAAGAGGAAACAAGCAGCCTACTAGTCGACAGAAACTATGAATTTGGTAAGTTTTGTTTCCAGTAATTTCAGGGAAAGAAAAACTGAGTTAAAGAATCAGTAAATAGTTAAAGGTGAATGGTAGAGAAGGATGAAACCACCTGTAGAATTTTGACCTTCTTCCGCAAATCATCAACTAATTTTGCTGTAGGCCTTGTCTGAAGCTCTTTCTTGATCTCATCAAGAGTAGCTTCCTGTGAGTTAAAAAAGAAGGAAAAGGTATTACAGCTAAGATAACATCCACGAAATATGAGGCACAAACTCAAATTCAGAAACAGAGTCAATCAAGAAAAAAGGTGAAATTAGTGCAATGGATTAACATCTAAACACAAGGTGCACATTGCTATTTATTGAACTTTTGGACTTCCAACAAATTTGAAGCACATGCAGGTGTCTGTGGGAGGGAAACAATAAATATTTCCAACTTGCAGTTACCAACCAATCAAATAAGAAGTTAAAGGGCGGAAAAAGAAAGAGAAAAAGGTAACACCGCCTTACATCCAGACACAGGAAGGATCATTAACAAGAGAGAGAACTAAAGTTCAGCATTTACTTAAAGTAACTAGCATATAAGAATACATTCTATACAGCAAAGTGAAAATAGACCTTAAAAGGAAATGATAAAACCAGTGACCTTTAAGGAAGTGAATTTCTACACAGGACTTGATAGTTTATACAAGCCTCCATTCTAAGGCACCACACTTAATACGGTACAGGGACAGAGTCAAACCAAAGTATCAAGGTCAACAATAGTAATGACTCAAGATTTGTCATGTTGATAGATAGCTCAACAACATCAGGCCGTGTACATGATATGCAAATAAATGTGGCAGAAAATGTAGTTCGCTCTTTACTTCATGGATTTAGGAGTTTGATTCAGCCTTCTTATTTGCCTGTTGTGGGAGTTGGTTACATTTCCAGGTTCCTACAGACACCTACTACCTCCATGCAAAGCACCTGTCTAGGAACATTACCATTAATATTTGTTCAAAAGCCTTAGCAGGTAATTTCGTTTAATTGTTAACATCGTAAATAGCCAACAATGTAAGCTTTCACACTAAAAAGTTTGCATACACATCCCTTCAATTAGTAGATGCATATATTTCTAACAAATAACATAAAGAAAGTGCCTCATTTAGATTATGAGACATGAATCACAAAAATGGGGGGTAAAAAGGAACGGAAAAGAGAAAACCAAGAAGAACAACAAAAGAAGTGAAAGGGTAAGACCATTACTTCTCAAAGCAATGGGGAAAAAACCTCAGATCTGGTATTAGACCTACCTGAGAGTGGTCAAGCCATTGCTGGAGATGGGAAATAATAAAATGTAATAAATTATCATGGTTGAAAAAGCAAGTATCCAGACCAGCAGTTGACATCAAATAAAGGAAAGTATTTTTACAATTTTCATTTATGAGAGCACCAACGTGATTGAAGAGGACTCCTCACGAAGTGCAAATGGAAATAATTTATTTATCCAAAGTGTATTCATTCATGAACATGGGACTAAGCAACTCATACGGGACAGTAAACTAATGTACCTTTTCATTGAGCAACACATTCAACTTCTTGATTTCATTTATGTGTTGTTCCCGCTCATTTGATAAGGTGGTTTCAAGATTGTGAAGTTCCATGTTCAGTTCAGAGATTATCTTCTCCTTGGCACTCAAAGAATTCTCAAGGATGTTGTTTGAATCCAAATTGTCACTGCAGCGAGAACAATGGACATTATTCCAAATACGTAAACCCCAAACCACATGTACTCCATAGGAACAAATCAGAAAGATGAATGCTTATTTAATGGAGAGGGGAAAAGATATTAGCAAAATGATATACACCGGTTTTTAGCGTGATTAGAAATGTTATACCAGGCCATAGACGGATTTTGTTTAATAGGAACTCAACTCAACTTAGCAAAACAAAGTCTTGAACTCCAAATAGAGTTGTGGTCCACCACATCAATCCATTTTGCCATTTAGCTCTATTCCAGGAAGGTATTCCCCATTTGATCGTAGACAATCACCTATTTTCACACTGGAAAACCATGGCCTTGCTCCTGGCCTTGGCAACTACTTGACTAACATCACCTTACTCATCAGTCATTAACATTCAATCATTTGTGTCAAGTCTTTGTTGAGCTGAAAGGGAACTACTGCCATAATCATATACATTATGTGGATATCAATGAGAATCAAGCACTATTCACGAAAATGACATCTGGAGTTTGAATAAGAGGAAGATGCTCGATATATATAAAAGGAAGCATTTGCAGGGCTCATGGAGGCCCTTTTGTTTTATTTTTTCTTCCACTTTCAGAACTTCCACATGTTTTTTTTATTGCAAGCAATACACTTTTGAGTAGTTAAAGTTTTATGGGTTTACTGGCTTCTTTCTGTCATGCTGCAAATGAGTAGCTGCAAATTGTTTTCAGCATTATGTCTATCAATTTCAACAGAAACCCGAAAGCCAGTTACAAAACAAATCTGGCCCACAGCTCATGTTCTTGACACCTAAAGGTCCAAAACAGCATAATAAAACCACCCCGTCAAGGCTGGAACTCGGATGCTAACATTCTATTCCATAGATCTATGATACATCAAACCAATAATACTTGGGGAAAATTACAGTAACCCTCCTTAACTATGACATGTTCCCAAGTTGCCCCCCGAATGTTTAAAACTTGACACGTAACCCCCTTATGATTTTATCTTGTGACCCAAACCCTTTTGTTAGCAATTTGTGAGGATTTTGGGCGTAAATATGTCACATGAAAAGCATATTGACAGGCTAATGGAGATTTTAGGTCAAACTGCCCTTATTCTTGTTGTCACTTATTTGTGTAGCCAAACATGGCCTTAAAATTATATACAAATGTACATATATATTATTGTAGACACCCCATTTTGACCGGCCCTAAAACTTGGAAGCTTTCTTTTGATCATCCTTTGATGAATAACAAGAAGGTGTTTCTCACAAAATCCTCAACAAGAAAAAATGGAATTTGGTTTTCTCTCAAAAACGCTACGCCTCATTTTGGCCAAACTATTTTAGACCTTAAAACCCTCTTTTCAAAATATTTTTCCAAATGCTTACTATTGGAAAGTAGACTTCTGGGGCTTCAATTTAGACTCAAGAATCACCTAAAATTGAGTCCAGATAATGCAGATATGCCCGTTTGAAGTCGGGCTTAAGAGTAGATTTTGTTGACGCGGTCCGAGACAGCAGCAGACCCGTATATTTTTTGGTTTTGGTTCGGTTGGGACACCCCATTGATCCATTTTCTGATATATTCATCACCAAATGCATATACACTCAGCCTCCATTATTTAGTGCTTGATCCATTGGAGATAAGGCTCCACTTTAGGCCTCGTTTAGGAACCCTCTTTTTTAGCCAAAAAGTCAAAAAGTTACTAAATTAGCTAAAAAGCCAACAATCCATACCAAAAAGTCAAAGATTCTCTTTTCTCTTTACTTTTTGCACATCTTTTCGTAAAAAACCAAAAAGTCATCCCAAACATACTAGTTTTTTTTAGCTCATATTTTAACCAAATAGCCAAAAAGTTACTAAATTAGCCTGTTCCCAAATGAGGCCTTAGTCTTCCATTAGCTCCATTAGTGCTCCATTGTCTTCCTTTATGCTCTATCTTGTCTTCCACCTTGTCTTCCACCATTTCCCCACATGCTTAGCCTATATGTATACATCAAATTGTTGAGAGGAGGAGGAGGATAGACTAAGGAGAGAACAATTGAACTCGAGAAAAGAGGAAGAAAAAAGAGAAAAGTTGAGTTTTTGAGCTAAAAATACTCCTATCTTCCATATACACCCTATACCTTCCATACAAACTGAAATTCCATCTTTTCTACACCCAAAACTCCTCCAAAAATTCTAAAATATTTGAATTTCTGTAGCTTTGATCAAGAGGAAGAGTGAGTGCTGGTAAAAGTAAACAAAAACAAGATAGATAATCACTTTTCACCACATACACCTCCAAGCCATCATTCTAGCAAGAATTCCAAACTTTCAAATTGAGGATTGAGAACATAATTCATACACTTGAGGGTAATCAAAAGGAAGTTTAGAAATCATGAAGTTCATCCTTTCTTGAATGGGTGAATTTTCAATTTATTTCATTTTCTTGCACTTCTTACTTATTTTGCTCTTTTGCTTTGATTTCTTGTTATATAATATATTGTTGTAATCTAAATGAAAGTGGTGAGTTGAGACTCCCATATATATTGTTTTTAACACTGCTTTTGTTGTGGAAATCTAAGAAAACAGAGTTTAGCCGAGCCTATTGGGCTACACGGCCCGTTAGTTGGTCGGGTAGCCATTTAAAAGTACACCATCGCGCCTGCAACCATCATGACCGTGCTCACAACCTCTAGGCAAAATCAGGTAGCCTTCTGACGTTGAGAAGATCAACCTCCGATGGTTTTTGAGGTGCTTGAAACTGCTATTTTGTTATGTTAATCTTATATTGAGTGTTTGTAAGGATTTTTATATTGTGTTATAATATTTATGCATCTCCCTCGAATTTGTAATATTTAAAGTGCTATAATAATTCTCCATCCCCGCTTCTTATCTATCCCATTCTTTAATCGCTTTCCCTAACTGTCCATATGTATATATCTTGCATGCCATGCATATCTATACTTTTACATACATGATTTATGCCCAGATCCGACTAAATTTGCATCTTTATGCTTTAATTGATTATTACATGATTTTGCGCGTTATCATATGTTTTGCAATGTTTCACACTTCATGTTTTAAAAGCCGGATCTTTAGAAACATTGGCCCTGTTTGGTAGAGCTGTGGGAAAATGCTTATAGCTTATGCCTTAACAGCTTATAGCTTATAACTATAAATATAAGTTGATTTCTGACTTATAAATTAAGCATCTTCTGCTCCACTCAAAGAATAAGCTGATTTTTAACTTATAAAAAGCTATAAGCTGCATTGTTAAGCTAAACCAAACACATCAAAATAGCTTAAATTAAGCTGAAAGCTGAAATAAGCAGCTTTTAAGCTGCACCAAACAGGCACATTCTTGTATATGTATTGCATTAGGATTTTATATATAGGATCATGCATATTTTACCAAATTTGTTTTGTAACTATTCGTGGGACGTCGGTAAATATGTAAGTTGTTATACTTTAGCATCCTGCCTGTACATAATTTTCTTATTATGCTTAGCATCCTACCATGTGGTTATTTGCTTACTTGATATAACTGTATGAATGCCAGTGGATGGAAGTTGTGTCGCTTAATTTGGAATGATGTTGATTTTTCATGTTTGTAAACTCAATTTATTTGGGTTGTACATCTTCAAAACTCTTTCAAAACTACATGAAATCAAGTTATTCCAAAGTGGGTAATATAGTCTATACTTGTATGCTTTATATAGTCATTTTTTAAGGATTTATTAAATAATCGGAACATGAACATATAAAGTAAATAAAACTTATATCATGGTTTAGTAGAGGCCGATCTTTTGATCGAGTGAGCAGGAGTGCTCAACAATGACCTTCCTTCTCATGCCTAAAGTTCCGAGCCAAGCATCTTTGGTGACGACAAACAGTGGCCTTGGCACAAATCACAGGTTTTCTAATTTTCCCAAAAAATTATGTGGCGACTCTAAGATCTGGTGATGCAGTCCATTTCTAGCAAAGATTTTGCAATAAAATGGATTTTCTATAAAAGTTGTCAAATTTGGACTTTCATCTATGTTTCACATTGCACTCGTGAGACTAGATCAAAGAGACCGAGGGTCCGAACTATTTAATGCACACAGTTATCACTTTGTCTCGGCCTTGGCAGAGCTTCCAAAAGAAATTATTCCCCGTTGACCGTCAAATGCAGAGTATGAGGGAACTTCAAATTAGGCCACGAAAGTGGCCTGTCATTTCAGCTCTTTATTTTGCTTTTTCAGTGCGCTAATCTCTCCTAGAGCATCTTTATGCATACGTTGAAGTAAGGAGAATTGCGCTTACAGTTGATACACTTCAAACGTCTTGTTCTGCAGTTGACGGGACAAGTTAGAGACCGCAGTCACGGTCTTCACACATGACCTCAGTGTATACGAGTTAGCCTCGATGTCAGATTGTGATGCCATTATTTGCTCAACTAACATCGCTGGAAAGCTGAGAACAGGGAAAGGTGGAGGGATGCGCGGTTGAGGTTTACAGGAGTCAAAACTGGTTATCTCTATCGTGGACTCGTTGAGGTCTGGAAAGTGAGTGAGAGAACCGCGAGAAGATGCCATGTCAGAGGAAAGTGATGCAAAAGAAAGGGATTGCAGAGTGGTGGCAGAGAGAGTTCGTAGCTTTTTGCTCTCTTACAGACCTTGGTTTAAGTAGAGAACGAGGAAGGAGAAAATGACACAAGGGA